GGCCGAAAAATAGAAGGGCTAAAAGGTAAATACCTCATAAGTCATAAAATATCAACAAAGAAAACAAAAAGTGATGAATTGCTAGTAACTTGGCATTAAAGAATATCATAAAAATCTGCTGGGCATGGAAAAATATCCGGCTAGAATCAAATCGGACAATATAATAAGAACCTCAAAAATCATTTAATAGCATAAAATAATTTTAAAAAATTGCAAGGGTGGGACTGAATATAAGATTTTAGCTGAATAGTAGAATTGTAGAAAAAACATTATATATAAATCTTAATATCAAATATAAAAAAAAAATATATTAAATAACTATATTTACTGAGTCTCAACCTATTTGAGAAGATAAAAATAAGACTACAAATTCAACTTTTTATTTTGTAAGTCAATAATTAGATTTTCTTTTATTTTATATATTTTTCTTTATTCTTACCATATTTTTTTTTTATATATATATTTTCTTATGTGGCGAGATATTACCGTACAATTTCAGTACTATCCGTCGGAATACCAAACCGAACCGTTCCATTCCAATAGTCCCGAATATCGAACCGAACCGAATCAAAAAAAATTTTCGGACCGAACCGAACCGATTTTTTGGTACGGTTTCAGAAATCGAATTTTTGGATCTCTAAAGTTTGGTACGATTTTAAAAATTTATCAATCTCCGAACCATACTGACCCACGCTCACTCCTACTATCCGATTATGGTAAATTTAATAATTAGTTCATATGATATAAAATTAGATAATATTAAAGTGAGAAAAATCCTTCCCAACCTAAAATAAAAGGACAAAAATAAATAAATAAAATAAACAATCAAATAAAATCAATCTTTTTACAGTGCCTCGGAGCTCACCCCATCCCCAAGTAGCTTGGAAACTCGAATATAGCCGCCTCTTAACCCTTCTTCCTCTTCCGATTTTCATGCTCCTATATTCTATTTATTTTTTTCTTTTCTTTTTATTTTTCATATATTTAGTTGATGTTTGTTTAATCCCTTACTGTGGATGCTTTCTCTGGAGATTGTTGTGTGATTCTTGAGTTGAGGGCGCGTGAGGAATCGCCATTGTAAGGTACTTTTCTCGTTAATTTGACTCTGTATTTCGCATTGTTTAAAGTTTGCTCCTTTTGGTTTCTTTTTCTAGTTTTAATGGCGATTTTCTTTGGCTGAAGTGTTGTGCTGTGGTTTTTCTGGTTTAATGTGATCTTCTGTAACTTGGGTTGCTGTTGGTTTGATGTGACGAATGG